GTAACCCTAAAAAACAAAACTCATAAGTCACTTCAGAAGCCGATATCGAGATACCTCCATTCTCTTCACTCAGGAGTTTAACGGTGATTCGATTTCTGCGTTTCGCCCGCTCTTTGGCAGCAACAACAGGGTTCGAGAAGCCATTCACATTATCTTCAACAATTACTTCCTCCACTACTACATCTAGTTGCTTCCCTTTCTTACCTTTTGGGGACCTCACCCTATTTGCTTTGTATAATAAGTTAATAAATTCAAATCAACTATCATAAAATTAATTTCAAAATAACAATCTCAAGAAAAAAAGAAAATGGGAAAATAACAAAAAGGGAGAGCATCATACAATAACAATAATCGAAGGTGGAATTTCTACGAAGAGTAGATAATTGTCTTGTCTCTGAGTTTGTTCATGTGTGATGTTTGGTTGAGTCATCATTTTCAGCATTTGAGACATAGATAAAAAATATGAGAATGAGATCATTGTACTCACATGAAATCAATGCTTCAAAATCTATTTCTAATAAATCAATCTAAGTTCCTTTTTAGCATTGCAATGGCCATTGCCAAGGCCCAAAGAAAAAACTAAATTATTACCAATTATATACAATCTACAGGGTAAAGCATTCTCTTCTTTATTCTCTAAATTTTCTTACTGGATTATCTAAAAACATAATTTTACATAGATATTATATCAAAACTACACATGTGGGGTTTCTAAACTCGCACACATAGTTCCAAGCATCAACAACATCCAAAGTAGATATTATATCACATCTCTTGCACGTAAATGTTAAATGTTATGGCATTAACATGAATATTTAAAGAAAGTTATGCAAATTTCCAGTCAGAGGATCTCATCTCCAAACATGATATAGTAGCTTTTAAAATACAAAAAATAAATTTAGATTTTTAGATAAATTAATAAGTAATCGACTCACACCTTTCCATGAAGTTGGATGGTTATAGCAACATGCTAAAAAGTTTTCCATACAAGCCTTATCATGAAATGATTGTCTTGGTTTTCTTTAAGAAATTCTAGAAGGGCAGGGTGGTCTTCTATATCAACAACTACCAAAACATTCTTTTTGAATATGCGGAAATATAAATTTATCATTTTATACTTGAAAGATATTTTAAGAAGTAAATAAAAGGAAAATTTCAGCTCAAAGACAATATACAATTAGCAATGGTCCTTTATATTTTAGAGTTCAATGTATTAAGCGATTAAAATATTTTCTGCATCATTTTTCATAACTTTTTAATTACAATCATTTCATATTATAAAAAGATGAAATTTTCAATCAAACAAAAAACGTTTGCGGCAACTTGAATCGTGTCTGGACCACCTTGTAAGGTCCTCCCTCCACTCCAACTTCATTATATCTACATAAATAATACAAGTTTAAATTTCCTACAAAAGATTAGGAATAGTTTCAATCATTCCCCCAAACCCATCGGTGTCTTCTCTACCTTGCACCACCCACCACCTTAGCAGATAAATGCACCATCAACTCTAGTACATATTTTGAACAAACTAAAAATCACAACTCAAGTTAATAAACAAGTCTCAATTTATGTCTTAAGAAACATATATTAGTTAGAGTTAAGAAAAATCAAACCTAGTTATATCTCTCGTGGGATTAACAAATAAAGAGTCGTGTGTAGGCCTGCCAGGTAACTGCGCCCAGAGAACTAAACCATTAGAAAGAACCAATTTCTTAGGATCAAAATTGTGGTAAAAGAAGCAAGTTTTAATCTCAAATGTTGATGTCTACTAACACACTATTAGAAGAGTTTTTAAAATATAAAATTCAAAATATAGTCACTACAAAAAAACATAATTGAGATGCGTTTATTTTGCAAAAGATATAACAGTAGACTGAATCCAATATAAGACTAAGTTTCTCCATCTCAAATGTTAGGACTTAAGAATGAACGCAAAAGGGCCATTTTTTTACACGAATCTGTTTGATTTTATCAACTTTGTATCATAAAATATATTATCAAACACGGTTGATGAAAAAAGAAGAAGAAAATAATTAAGTAGTTCACTTGTTGTACCTTACTTAAATCATACATCCACCGATTTCCCAAGCTGCAGCATGGTACTCAACTGCTTGAAAACTCAAAAATCATAGATATTTTTGTTAGAAGAATTCAAATTAACACCTAAAAAAGAAGGTGTTAATTGAATTACAGTTGAAGATTAATTCATTTTCACTTACATGGAACATGTCTCAATCCGGTTTCAACAAGGAATTGTATGCAATAGAAGAAATATGGATCATGTGAGAAGCAATATCACGCGGGAAATAATCATCCGAAGCTCTCATAAAAAAACAATCTACTTAGCATTGTAAAGTCCATTTGTGTTAAGTCCAGTAGTGGATGGGATTTAAAATCTATCATATAAGAAAAATGCATAAAAAAAAGTAATTTACCTAGAAAGCTGACTGTTTCTCGTGCACTAAATCCTAGAAAAATCATTGATGGCTATCTTGTCTAATAACAAATCAGCTTTCCATGGCCATGTCCACAAAAAAAAAATAGAAATATGACCTTATAACAGAAGAAATATTTTATAGAGCCTATAACACAAGAAATAATACCTTTAAACTTTGAGAAAGCTCTGCATATCTGCCATGCTTGTAATAATTTATATATCCTATAACACATGCAAGTAATCAGGCCTTTAAACTTTGAGCAGTTAGAACAGAAAATCGAAACCATGATGAAATTAACATGAAGCTTTAGTAAACAGAGCATACATAAGTATTATAAGATATCTACGTTGGATGTTGTTGCTGCTAGGAACTGTGTGGGCGAGTTTAGAAACCCCGCATGTGTTATCTAAAAACATAATTTTTACATAGATATCTTGTTCAACAAAGATCACCTACAACAATGATACAACAAAGATCACCTAAAAGAAACTTCCATAGAGTCTTCTTGAGATTTAAATTGAAGCTCACCTAGGCTGAGTTTAAACCACACAACATACAGCAGAAGCAGAACGAAGGAAGGCTAGAGTATAGCATACCTAGAGAGAAGTTGTTTCGTTCCATTGTTTACCAACTAATGACCGAGGATGACCCCGATACGATCGTGAAGGCATTCCTATGCTGGAATCACTTGATTGTTAAGGAGAATGGTTCTTTTTCGTGTTGATTGTGTGTGTTTTGATGTTGTTGCCTTCATTTTCGTGTTGATTGTGTGCGTATTTGATGTTGTTGCCTTCATTTTCGTGTTGATTGTATGCGTATTTGTTACTGTTGCTTTCGTTTTTGCATTGATTTTCATGCGGGGTGAAGGATTAGAGGCTTGATTTTCAGAATTGAGGGTTTCTTAACCTAGGTTTTCGAATTGGTGATGGCTTCGATCCACCATTTTTGTTTTCATTGAGCAATTTCCATTACATAATTCATGAAAATGGTTGAAATCTATGAAGAGTTTGTGTTCTGGGTTTCACGATTATTGAAGGTTTAGAGTTTGATTTCCATGGTTTGTTTTTCTGTTCGGTGAAAGAGAGAGATATGGATGATGAGGGAGAAGAGAGATTGTGGGAGGTGAAAGAGAGAAAGGAGTTATACTTTTACAACCTGGTCTGGATAAGGAAGGGCTCCGGATCCGGTTTGACCCAGTTCGGCCCAGATTTCCTTTTTTTAATATTAAAAAAAAATTAGAAAAGAAAATTATTGACGAGAGGGAAACTAAAAAAAGAGGGAAATTCTGGAAGGGTATAGTTTTTTGGGTTTGGGCCACAGTTTGAAGTGAAAGTTATAATGCTGCGGTTTTTCTTTGTGGCTTAAACTATATATAGTTTCTTAACTGTGGCTTAAATATAAGTGTGATTTTATAACTGTGGTAATTGAAGAAAATGCCACAATTTCACACTCCGGATTCAATATTTTAAAACATATGTCTACGATTTGAAAACTCTGGCCAAAGCTTGTATGAGGCCACATGGTTTGACTTATGGCAAAATTTTGCGTGACCATAGGCCAAAAATGTTGTAGTGTTAGTAGCTTTTTATAGCTGCATGAAAGACTAAAATGTAATTTTAATATTTAAATTTATTATTCATTTTTTTTTAAATATTGATCAACAAAATTAAAAATTAATCGAGAAATCAACTAAAAGATCTCAATAATGATTTTTTTCAAGTGAGTCAACAGAGGAAGAAATTTTGCAGTGAATTTCTTAAGTAGTCCAAAGAGCATTAAGTACAACGCGTAAAATATCTTATTTGATTGATATTTTTGAATTATAAGTTATTATATTTATAAATAAAAACTATATTGACCATATTATTGTGGCCTATAGAAATGTCACTACTAATGTTAATAAAAATCTTGAAAATAGTTTGGAGACTGGCATACCTATTCTTGTAAGAGATCTTAATAATGTGAAGAAGGGTGTCACTAACCTTCTTGAAGCTCCTATTGATTATGAAGAATCTATAAATGATGATGATCATGATAATGTTGATTTTAATGTCAATGACAATGACAATGTCATTGATGATGTTGAAGGAGATATTCTTCTTGCTGAAGAAGTTACATTCAGAAGACTCCTTAAAAGTCTAAGAGATCATATGTAAAGAAAATGTTTGTTCTAAAACCCAAAAAGTCCACTACCATCAAAAACTCTAGTGTGTGAAGCATAAAGAAAAGAAGTACCAAGAAAAATCTAGATGTTTTTTTTAAGAAGAAGAAATACACAGAAAATTGGAAGAAGGTTGTAGTTAAGAAAAATACCACTACAGAAACAAAGAATGTTGTATTAAAAAGAAAGAAAGCTACTAAAGACAATGTTATCGAAGATGATGTTGCATACATTCTGTATGGCATTTTAGAACCTTCTGCAAAAATAAGTAAGAGAATTGTGGGTGGAAAGAAGCTTCCGCAAAATGTTCATGTTGTTCCATTAGGCAACGTCTCTTTTCATTATGAAGAGAGTGTTCTAAAATGTAAACATATGTTCCATATACTCATATCCCCAGAGAGGGAGTGTAACACCCCACACATACATTTCCTATGTGTGATAGGGTGGGAGAACTGACTTGAGGTTTGCGTTTGTGTTCGCAAATGTTGCGGTTTAGCAAGAGTCGCCACCGACTTTTTATTTTATCCTAAGGAAAGGTCAAAAAGCAGAGGAAAGACCTTTGAGATGTTTTCTTGGGTTCGGGGAGTAGATTATAGAAAGGGAAGGTATTAGCACCCTTTCTATCCATGGTTATCCATGGGCTCTTAGTTACTTGCTTAGATCACTTGCTTTGCATTTCAATTGTTTGAAATGGTGCTTTGTGTGTGGTTTTGAAAAGATATTTCAATGTTTTTGAAAGTTTGTTTTGAAATTGTGTGTGTTTGAAAGTAGCAAGGATGTTTTTTTTGCAAGTTTGATCAAGTAACTAAGAGCTATCTACCCTATTTTACTCAAAGATCTTTCTTACGTTTTTAACCCTTTTAACAGTGTTGCTTCACCATTGTATTTGGTGAACAACCTTGTGTTAGGATGTTTACGGGACAGGCGCGGGTCATCGTATAGACCATGATAGCAATTGTGTCAAGTATCTTTGGCAATTTTCTGAGGGACTAGATCATTTTGTATAGGCAACCAAGATAGCGTCATCGAGGGACTATGATCTTTTGTTTTATTTTTGTTTTGCCAAAGTACCCAACATGCATATCATGGCCATTTGTTTAGGCAACCAAGTGGAGATAACCTAAGGGGTGCATGTGTGAATAATGTGTTTGATTTGCATGCATTTAGTCTTTGATTAGGGGTTGTCTACTTGTTATTTTCATCTTTCCATACATCCTAATTACTATCATTTGTGCGAAAGTAATAAAAATGCAGAAAATAAATCATACGCTATTACAACCATATTGAAGAGCAAGAAATGTAAAGACAAAACAAAAAAATAAAAAGAATAAAAATGATCCTTTCGATCTGAGCAGAGACACCCTTCGATTCTGCACTTTCTGGCTCTCTTCGATTTGGCCTGAAAAGGGTGAAGGCATGACTTTCGACTGAGGCCTCACGGTCATCATGTTGTGTCTTTCGATTGGGACCAGCGGGACAGCATGTTGTGTCTTTCGATTGGGACCAGCAGGACGGCATGTTGTGCCTTTCGATTAGGCCTGGAATCTGTGCAAGATGTAATCTTCCTTTCTGCCTCCTTCGACTGGGCCTAGAGTCAGTGAGGAAACCTGAGACTTCGTTTCATATTCCTGTCCCCTGTTTATTTTGTTTGAGATATTAAATAGCAACATGGCCTAAGGCCACGCTGTCATTACCTCAGGGCCAGGTTAATTCTTAAAGCATCTGTAACCATCCAAAGAACCAAACCAAAAGGAGAAGCAATAAAAACAAACTAAAGGGTGGAAACGAAAAGGTAACAAACACTATGTATATGTTTGAAACGAAAAGGAAGCTTACTTACATGTCATGTTAGAAATGAAAGGTTCAAGGTTAAGAATGACTTACCTTGCTCGAGGCTGGAACGTGTGCTGGGCCTTTAAGTGGTTTCCTTGAATGCTTCTGGATTCGAAGGGAGGAACCAGGTGTTATGTCTTTGATACTGGGTCCGAAAGAGAAGAACAAGTGTGAGGTTCTTCCTAGTGGATTCGAAGGGTAACAAGGTATGGGGATGTTTCAGATTCTAAGGGGATAAGTGTTTGGATTCTGGGTATGTGTTTGATGAGTGTTTAAGTGTTTGAGAGCTTTATGGTGTTTTTGAGAATTTTTTGAAGATTCGTTCGTCTAGCCAAAAGGTCCTCCTAAACATGTGTTGGAGCCTCTTATTTATAGGCAAAGTTGGCTGAAGCTTTTGGAGGGAAAACAAAATAATTTGAACAATTTGAGTAAACTGCTCTTTGTAGCCTTTGAGGGACAATGCTTTATTTCCATTTTGGTACAAGGAATTGGGCGGCAGTGCAGGACTGCTGTGCAACAGTTTTGGAGTTTTATGGCCAGTGAATCAGGCCCGTGCCTGGCAGCGCATGTGACTTGGTCGACAAATGCCTTTGGCCTCTCGTCCTTTTGTCTTGACTCCCTAGACTCACCTTTCGACCAGACTTTCAGTAACCATCTCCTTTTTTCCAATCGAAGTGACGTTTGAATGACTTCCCTAGACTCACCTTTCGACCAGACTTTCAGTAACCATCTCCTTTTTTCAATCGAAGTGACGTTCGAATGACTTCCCTAGACAATCCTTCGAATGGGCCAAATTAATGCTCTTGGGATGGATCAGTAATATATGTCCTTCGAATGGGGACATCCAAACATGCCTGACAAAACTCTTCGAATGCACCACCAAGATGCTTTCTTCGCCTGAGGCAATGACATAGTGAAGAGTTTGTATGCTTGGGACAGGCCATTTCTAACAGGAAATCCTTCCCACTCAAATTTACCTACAAAGGGGCCATATGGCCAAACGAAAGAATGACGAAACACTTGTGCCCAAGGATTCACACCCTCAAGCGAAGGATGTGTGCCAGAGATGGAAGGCTCAATCGAAGCTTGCAACATTGGAGAAGTCACTCCCCCAAATGAAAAAGGCGTGCAAGGGCAGGATGTGTGATCGAAAGAGGGCAAAAGAGAGGTTTTTTCCTCCTGGACCGAAGGACATCATCAAGAGGGTTTTTGCCTTGTAAATCTTGGCTAACACGCAGGAAAGAGGCTATATGGCCAAGTGAAATATTTGTACTTAAGAGAATACAACATTCAAACAAAGTCCAATGTCCCAATGAAACAAGAAATGAACTTGCCCAAAAGGAGTCCAGCGCCCAATCGAAGGATGCAACCAAGCCTACATCGAAGGAGCCAAAGTTCCCAATTGAAGGATGTAAAATCAAA